CAGGGTGCGCCGGTGCCCGGCCAGCCACACACACAAGCTATAACAGAAGCAGCAGCAGCATCTCTTCAGTCCACAGAACTTTGTTCCACAACTCTACCACTTTGTCGTCATGTGCTTTTGTGAACTGCAACCTGGCCTTTGTGTTCGTGAGGTTTACATCTTGTGGTGAAACCTCAGGTTCTGGTTATGAATTAAATGTCGACAGGGAAACATCCTGGAGATCATTCATGACTCGCTGTGTATTCAGAAAAGGCTTTTTCTTTACTGTGCCAAGGATGTTCAGGTTATGCAAGACTTGTGCTCCTCGGTCTTCCAGGCTGTTTTCTAGTTTTCCTGTGTTTGGCTGCTTTTTTAACTGCTGATTTTTGGAAACTAGCACATCTCTGAGAGATTTTACCTTTTTTTAGCCTCACTATCATCTCCTTCACCTGCATGGTCACCTCTTCACTTGTCATACTGAGACAACTCCACCTCAATCGAAGCAGCGACTCAGCTGTCAATCAACTCTGAGCTTTGTGTGAACTCTTTTGTGCATAAACTAATATTGAAACAACACCATACTGCCCAAGGAACATAGCAGCCAAGTATCCAGTTACTTCTGAACCCCTGCAATTTGGGTACAGTGTTTAATGGGGGGGTATCTCCCACACTTCTTTCTATATTGATGTATAAATTGTGTAGGTCCTTGAGCATAGTCTTTGTTATTTTATTTCAAATTGAACATGCTGAAGCACAGATCCTGTCATTCAGCAGTCCAATACGAACAACTGAAGCAACGTTAATCCTTGTCTTAAACATAGAGAATTCTTCTCATTTGGACCCTCCTTCCCATATGGCAGGAACATAGCTTAAACCCACCTTTATTTGCCACCTTCATTTACACCTAACAGGGGTTTTTCTCTGTGGTTAAATTGAGGCCCTGCCAGCCTGGCAATGGCCCACAGCACAGGGCTCCAGAGTGCCAGCAGCACTGGAAAACAGTGTAGTCAAATCAAAATCAAATCAAATCACATTTTATTTGTATAGCGCCAAGTCACAACAAAATTCATCTCAGGACACTTTACAAAGTAAGGTCTAGACCTTACTGTTATCACTATTATTACATAGGGAAAACCCAACATATCCCCCTTGAGCAAGCACTTGGCGACAGTGGGGAGGAAAAACTCCCTTTAACGGAAGAAACCTCCGACAGACCCCGGCTCTTGGTGGGCGGCCTTCTGCCTTGACTGGTTGGGGTGAGTGGATAGAGGAGAGCAACAGGACACAACAAACAAACAAAGTCAAGTTAAAGCAAAGGCTTTTGATAACATGGAGCGACAACAAAAAAGACCACAGAAGCTCCGGCACAAGTAAGCCAGCCATTCAGGGAGCCTCCTCAAACAGCATCCACAGGGCTCAGCCTGACTTTGCAGAGTTCAGTATACAGTCACGCTTAAATTAAGGTCATGCAGCTGTTAAGGTCTGAATATATGATAGATGAACATAGACAAAGAGATCTCCAACCTGTTCTGTGTTCACCCACTGCTTTCTGTCTGTCTCTGCACATTCAACACCTGTGCTTCCCTGTGAAAGAAACCCCAGGCACTGAGCTCTTCCTTCTCTGTAGATAAAAGCATTATAACCACACAAGCAGCCACATATTGACATCTCCCCCGCAAATGCTAATTCTCCTTCATAAGCCATAAATCCAGAGGTAGCTGATATACTGTAGCTTTTTCCCCCTACATTTTAGTTGTGTTGCGAGGCTGGAGATGTTCAAACAGCCTCCCTGTAATAAAAAATTAAATGATCTCACAACGTCCCAGACACGAGACTTCAAACAAGGCCAACTGTTTTTGCTTTAACAAGCTTAGAAACTCAAAAACAGTGTAACAAAGCAGCCAATCCCACACATTTCTTGTCATGGTCCTACACACAGACCCATATTCTGTAGGCCTACTGCACCAGTGCTGATGTGATCAAATGTTGACCTTCAAACACTCCCGTCAGTGAAGGTGCCTGTTGTTGACCCTAACTATGCAGGTGGTCCACATCAGCCCCTCACACATTAGATAACTGGGATCAACTGGATGAAAAAGTGACCAAAATGAACTGCCTGCTGTAGGAAGGCCAGGCCTGTGAGCGGCCTACCAGTCTGAGCCACTGTCACAGCTCTGATGTGTGTCTGGCATGTTGTGATACAGATGCTGCTCTGTAGGATACATACCCACCCAGGATCAACAAATTATTTCTTCTGAGTGAAATGAACTGCATCATCCCAAAGATGCTTTTGTGAAAAACTACTCTGAGAGGAGGAGCATCATCATACTACAGAACAACTATACTATGGTTCCGTTTACTGTGACATGGTGTGTGCAGCTGCAGCATGCATGTGACTGTAGAGTTGCATCATGTGGTGTGGGTGATCCCTGAATGGGATCTTCCAGGTTTCGTCAGCAGCCAGCAGAATTTCCAAAAGTTATATGGATAGCTATTTGATGAGTAGATGTTGTGAAATATACACTATACCACGTCATTCTCCTTATTTTAATCAAAAAATTGAAAGATAATTGATTTAATGTCTCTAGTTCTCAGGTGTGACTTTCCTTGATTTGGGGTAGAAATTAAGAATTAGGCTTCAATGTGATTGGTCGACTTGCTCATTGTTGCTGTTAAAAGACTGCTGCACATCTATCAACACGGTCCTGGATCCTGTGATGTCCTACTCTTGATGCCCCACAGCCTCCCATTCATCCACACATAGGACAGATATGGGTGTGTAGGGTGAACTACCTGCCAGGAGCTGGAGGGGATCTCTGCAAATTTGCCCAGTCCCCCGAAGGTGTAGCATCGGTACATATGATCCACGGACTCCGAGCAGTGCCACAGCAAACCGAAGCTCACGGAGTCCTTGTTGTTGTGGTGGTGCTGGTGCTGGTTGTTCCTCAGCTGGTCTTTAACAATCCAGGCAGGAGATATGAAGCTGAAACTGCACACGGCGACCAGAGCGGAGGAGAGGAGCACCCAGAAGCAGCCCACACAACTGAACATGGTGGCAGCTTGGGGCAAAAAGCCCGCAGACAGACCCAGATCGATCCCAAACCCGGCTTCTTCTTCTTTCTTCTCCCGGCCCAGGAGCGAATGCATTTGGAGCTGACGCCTTCAAGAGCAAGACTTCAACTTCAGCCCCCGACCAGCACTACATCAGCAAATAAATCACTTTACGTCTGCAGCCCCTTATGTGTGCGTGTCCAAGACATCTGGATCTGGAAACGTCCAAAACACATCAGCAAGTGAAATGATGAAGATATAATTAAGACAAGGCGTCCGCGCGTCCACTCAGGCGGGAAAGATCCTCAAATCTTATACACAAGATGTTTGTCACACCCAAAACTGGATGCGCAGTTGTCATACTACAGTGCAGGTGGAGGAGCGGTGTGATTTACAAGCAGAGCCCGCAATACAAACGTCCTGGAGCCGCTGGTCCCCTCTGCTCCTCTCAGGGTAGCCTACCTACGCTGGCTCATCACGAACAACTGTGCACTGTGCATTTCAGTGCGCGCGTCTGGACAGCGTCAAGTTAGAAAGGGTTTGTTTTTTGTTTTTTGTTTGTTTAAAAAAAAAAAAAAGACATCCGGATGAGATTTTCAAAATAAAATCTTCAGAGAAGCGCACTATGATTGGAGGCAGTACTAAGCCTTCAGTGCATACTACTTATAATTAAAAAGGAATTACACCAATTTTACTCATAAATGTCCTTTATGCATATTGGGGTTCAATGTCTCACTTTCAACTTGTTGTATAGTTTTTCTGCTAGAGCTTTAAAGTTTGACTAAATAAACCTGATGGTATCAATAAATAACCTTGTGGATTTCATCATATTAGGCCTACTGGCCGTACTGGTTGCATTATGAGTCATTGTTGTTATTCTTTGCAACATGTAAGGTGGAAGAATGTGTGAGATGTGGGTCAAGACTGGGAACCTTAGTCAGTGCCTATGTGTCTCACACACTAATGCCCATTTTAGGCCTAGTAATAATGATTAGAAGAAGACCACACAGGTGAGAGCCTTATAATATTTAATTCAAATCTGTCTCACTATAGAAAAGCAGAAAAAACCTGACTCAAAAGTGGGCTTATGCATTTCCAATGGATTAGGCTACATGAAATTATGTGGCTATAGCCTATATGACCAGTCTAGCATTGTAAAATGAATGCAAGATGAACTTCTGAAAGGGTGGATGCAAACATCATCCAGCTATACAGACAAAAAGACAACCTGGCTTCAACACATAAAGCCTGCTTAAGAATCTGGGGATCACAACGAAATGTCAAATTGTTTAACATTACTTTTATTCTGAAGGCAAAAACGCAGTCTTCCGGTGTCTAAAACGGTTTCTATTAAACTCGACAGAACAGTTATCTGTATCTACATGAACAGTTAAAGTGAGTACCGTTACATCAGTTGTTGCAAAGTTACAGGTCTGTGTCAGCCAGTCCCAGCCAATCAGGACAGGAAACGTCAGAGTGTACTCAGGTAGGCGTTGCTTCTGCAGGTTCAGGTAGCCTCAGATGCTGTGAAATGTAATGCACAGGGGCTCGTTTCATCAAATGAAAATACACATAGCTGTCTGTAATGAACTACAAAAGTTCTAAAAGAAATATAAATACAATACAATAAACACACCTCTTGCTCTGTGGGAACACAAAGTGGGAATTTTATACATTCTAAGCAGTAGCAGTCTTGGAAGATAGCTAGGCTGATCTCTCTAACTCAAACTGCAGAAGCCAGATATTAGTTTGTTCTGAACTTAAGAAGGCAGTTTTACACAGAACAGAGAGGGTGTCTTTTTTTTCCTCCAGTCACTTACACTGTAATTTCTTTAGAATCAGATCTTACTTTTATGCCTTAATGTACTCTGAAAGCATTTTAGTTTGCTGTGAAAGATCCTCCCCTCTGTACTCTCAAAGCTATTCAATTCTAAAGAAATGACAATGTACAGATGT